AATGCCAGATTTGCATAAGAAAATAAAGTGTGTTTCATCTAGAAATATTTCTTTAAGAATTTCTTTGGAGCTAAAAAATCATAGTTAAGGAGGGGGGAGAATAACTCCTAAATCTCTTCTGTAGTAATTACCTACGCTCCTTAAAGAAGCCTAAGAATGAACATTTTACAATAAATTGTACTGTTTTCATTGCATTATGCAAATTAAATGACAACTTGTCATTTAAGAAGTTAATAAACAGTCACCGTTTTGCAGGTTATCCAAATGCTACTGAATAGACAACCTTGGATCCCTAAATGATGCGTAATTAAAATTATTTTTAAAATCCTCTTTGACAGGCCTGGGCTTAGCCAAAAAGTAAATGACATTAAAGAAGACAATGAATTTAATTTTATTTAATGTCCCTTTTTGCAGATCCTCATTTACATAGCATTTTTTAACAAAAGCCTTGACCTTATAAATGCTGGCATTTGTACAGCTTCTGCAGAGTTGGATTTAATCATGCTTTCACAAAGCCATGAGGGAAAAGCTTTAAGTTCTCTGGTTGGATATGGAGTAGGAATAAAAACATTGGGACTGGTCAAATGTTTATCCTCCTTGCTTCTGAAAACAACCTGACAAGAAGATGTAAAGGTCTAGGGAATAACCCATTGCTGTTTGTAAGGCTTGGTAATAATCATACATAATCGTTTGGAAATATAGCTAATAAAAAATATAATGAGTGTTCAGCAAAATCGGCATTAGGCCCAAATTACATGATATTAATACTTGAACAGGTGCAGAAAGGCTCTTTAAATGAGGTAAATGAATAAAATGTCCCAGAGCACAACTGTGTGCACTGACAAAAAGTCAATCACATGAATAATTCAGTGAGTAGGACTGCCAGCAAAGGTCAGCTTTCTTTGACCTTTGTGACAGGAAGTGAAAGGAAACACTGTTGACTAAAAATAAAAAAAAATAAAAAATAAAAGGACCTCTTCCAATCAGTCTTCAGCTACCATTCTGCAATTACTTTAAAGGCACAAACTTTAGCGACAAGTGAAATAAAGCTATTTCTTCCTAACCTAGTTTGGTCATCCTGCCACCGTTCTTAAAAAAAAAAAAAATGTAGAGGTCATAAAATTTTTGCCTCTCAATGAAACATAATGCGAAAACAAGAAGCTAGACAAAGACAATGAAAGGTTAAACAACAGAGAAGCGTGTGGTTTCCCTGCCCCCATAAAAAATGTCAATTATGAATAAAATCTGAGGTCATCTGAAAAATATTTTAAGAGCCCACAGAGCTGAAAGTTTGAAACAGCTGTTAAATATGACAAAACTTCTGTACCCCCACCAAAAAAAAAAAAAAAGCCTAAATCTATTCCAAACTCTGTATGGAAGAAAATGGGATAAACAGATGTCTGGCTTTTTTACAGAAAAGTAGAACACACTTGGAATTATAAGTCTTCTTAACTCTATAGAATAATGCCAGATTTATAGAGGAGGGAAAGTATTTACTACCCACAGAAATGCCAACTAGCAGTACAACTGTGATAATACCATCTGGAAAAATGATGCCAGGCATGCTCTCGGCAACACTTTTCAAGTTCATTCCGTGCGCACAGGCAGATCTGCCATTGTTTTACTAACAAGTTGCTTCTTAATGGGATTGTAGTTTGGAAACCCTGTCCTTCTCTATTCCTTCCTAATCAGCTGCTGCAGTGTTCAACAGTTGAATACTGTGATCTGATATAGATTCTAGCCAAACAAGAAAAGGAAAAGTCAAAAAGATGTCTTTTACCAGGAATTTCCATAACTTCACGTAAAATATTATGGTGGCAGAAAAGAATTATTTTAGCACACAGTGTGGTTTTGGTTTAGCAGTTACAGCGGTATCCTGTAATCATTTATAGGCAGTGGAATGTATGAGTGAAATAGGATAGATTTATCTCTTCATAGTTGTGATATGTAGACAATGGGTGTTCCTAATGAGGAACATCTGCTTTTGTGCTCGCCCAGAAAACATTATTCCACTATGAAAATGATACTCCTATCCTTTTCAGCAGGCCCACATAAAGTCATTTTCTTTTATTTCTTTTATTTGTCTTTCTTTGGGGCAGTTTTATTTCCCATGGAGACTTTTCGGAGGCATCCCTTTGGCTTGAATTACTTTATAGTATTATTTTTGTGGACTGTATCTGTTACATGAATTGTATAATTGTAAAGACAAAGCAGTGTCCCAAAAATTTTAATAATTGAAAACGTATTCTTAAGAATGTTTTTAGCAGAAAAATACACAAAAAATGGGGAAAGGGAGATAAGTACTAAGTATTTTATATAGTGTGGAATTTTAAAACCCTGATAAAATATTTTTATTTTCTTTATTTTATCATATTAATGTGAAATATTTGATTTACTAGTATTGTATGGCTTCTGTATGTATGATTCCACGTTACTAAGGTAAAACAGTAATTGTTAGAAAATACAGATAGTACCTATTTTCTATCCATTCTATTATAAC